GCTTAACCAATGTGCACCAGGGCTCCTTAATTGATACAATACTGTCAACCAATCTAAAAATATTCAAGTATTCAAATTTTGCTAGTCATCCCCCTAATGTCCTTTTTCTGGTCCAGAATCCAATCCAGGATCCCACATTGAATAAAGTCATCGTGTCCACGTGTCCCCTCTGGTCTAGGGAAGTTTCTCAGTCTTTTCTTTTTCGTGACCCTGGCATTTTGAAGAGTACTGGTCAGTTATTTTGCCCAATGTTCCTCAGTTTGGAATGTCCTGATTAATATCAGGTTACACACCTTTTGGCAGGAACACCACACAAGTGCTGCTGCACCTTCTCAGTGCAGTACATCAGAGTCCATGACGTCGTTATCTCGCTTTACTGGTCATGTGGACTTTGAGCACTTGATTAAGGTGGTGTCTGCCAGTTTTCTCAGAGGTCCCCAGGTGGCACAAACAGTTTGTGCTCGACTACTAACCTAAATGTCGGCTGTTCAAACCCACTCAGCAGCATCATGTAACAAAGTCCTGGCAGTGTGCTTCAGCAAAGATCACAGCCAAGAAACCCCCAACGAGCAGTTCCACACTAACAGATTAGGTCCCCATGGCTCGGAATTGACTCGATACAACTGGTGCCTTTTGTTTGTTTGTTTTACCAGGTTTGTCTAAATCTATTTTCCCTGTTGTAACACGTTAAGTACCTTGTTGGGAGACCCTTTGAGATTAAGCAAATAGCCTGTGTCTCACCATACTTCTGCCCATTAATTCCTGCACCCATTGATGATTCTTGCCTCCAGCAATTATTACTGTGGTCATAGCCGAATGGTGGTTTTCTTTTTCCACCATTCCTTCTACATTTATTCACTGGAATTCTACTGTAAGAAAGAGTTGCTCCTTTTCCTCCATTTACTTATTTATTCAACTATTTCTTTACATTAGTGTGGACTCATGGGTGTGTATATTTCTGCTAGTATGTAGTGGAACCGGAAATCAAAATAATGATAGACACACCACACATCATAAGTGGAAATAATTTTTTTACATGCCAGCAAAAAGCCTAACATTCCAGCATAGACACTCTCTTTGGAAAATACCTGGAAATGCTTTACTATCACCATTCCTCATGTTGTTAATATTGTCCCAGATTTGACCAGCGACAATTTTTTCAAGTTGGCTTCTGTGTCCTTTTGACATGTCCTCACCATTTTTTCTTAAGCAGTTCCTTCCTTTCTGACACCACAGATGTTCCAGGCTTCTCTTAGACTTTCTCTGCCCCAGCCCTGGAGTCAGCCATTTCTCCAAAGAGCCCTGGTTCCTTTTACTGGAGAATGGTATTTACAAACTATGGGTGTCAGGTATGCTCATAGTTACTGGGTGTCATTGCTTCTAGGCCCTCTAGTGGACAGAGCTAAAAACATAAAGTTTCCAACCAAGTGATTGTAGCTCGCGGTGACCCATGTCTGTCAGAGCAGAAATGGCCCTCACACAGCTTTCGATGGCTGACCTTTTTGGAAGGAGATCACCAGGCCTTTCTTCCAAGGTGCCTCAAGGTGGACTCAAACCTCCAACCTTTAGGTTAGCAGCCAAGCATGTTAATCATTTGCCTACTGGAGGACTCCCATATACATGTATACACACACCATTAGCTCCATTTTACAAATTCAGTCCGTGAGGCACAGAGCAATGAAGCAGTGTGCCCAAAGTCACAAAGCTACCATGTGGTGAAACTGGAAATCAAAATGATAGACGCACCACAAGTCATAACAAGTAGAAGGAGTTTCTTTACACATGCAAGTCAGCAAAAAGCAGTAAGCCTGGCAGTCCATCAGGTTCTCTTTGGAAAATACCTAGAATTCCACAACAACAACAATAATAATAACCACCAGGTACTGCATGCCTACCTGGGCACTGGGCACCTACATTATCGTTTATTGATAACAGCTCTGCAAGGTGGATGTTACTGTCCTCATTTTACAAATCAACAAACCAAAGATCAAAGAAGGGAAGGGACTTGCCCAAGACCCCACAGTTATGTGACAGAGCCAGGAGTCGAACCCAGGTCTGTCTGGGTATGAAGTCCACATGCATTCCACTCTATCGGTGTTTTCCAAAAAATGATTTTAGGTGGGACATAAATTAGAGTTTTTACTTTAATAGTTACATGTTTATTATAATTCATATTAGAAAAAATACAAGCAGTGCACATCAATCCCAAAATGTCACGGGTAATACTGCATAGGATGAGGCTAAGTTTTCCACAATAAACTAAAGCAAACATATGACGTAAATAATAGTACAAGTGGTACACGGCTACAGCATACACATAGCCCATAGATGTGTGTGGTCAGGGGACATAACACCATCGTCCCATGCAGCCTCACTCTGTTGCACCATGAAGTTAGGAAGAGTGTATCGTGCTGCAAGAACAACAGACTTAAGGATCTGGAACCTGGGTTTTCAGCTCTAGGTATGTCATCCTTACCTTTGTGAATTTGCTCTCGAGTCTCAGTTTCCTCATCTGCAAAAGAAAAAAAGGAGATTGAGATTTGTTAACAGGGGAGCTCTGATGGCACTGTGGTTAAAGCACTGAACTGCTAACCAAGAGGTCGGTGGTTCAAACCCCACAGCCACTCCACGGGAGAAAGATGAGGCAATCCGCTTCCATGGGGATTGACAGCCTTGGAAACCCTCTGGAGCAGTTCTACTCTGTCCTCTAGGGGTGCCATCCACTTGATGGCAATGAGCTTTGGTTTATACTTTTTGGGGAGTATTATGCAGTCATTAAAAATGTGTTGTGAATTATGAAATGGGAAAAAGATAGAAATTTATTCATGAACTATGGTTGTCATTATACAAAGAAAACCATAGGCAGGAAACAAATATCACAAAATACCAACTAGTTGGTAAGAGTAAAGATGGCTTTACTTGTACTTTTTCAGTTTTCCCCAACATGCATATTTATATATTACATTCCATAGGTGGTACAAATGGTGCACACACTGGGCTGCTAACTGAAGTGTTAGAGGTTCGAGTCCCCCAAGAAGCACCTCAGAAGGAAGGCCTCGTGATCTACTACCAAAAAGATCAGCCATCGAAAACCCTTATAAGCACAATTCTGCTCTGACACATACAGGTCACCATGGGTCAGAATCAACTCACCAGCAACTGGTGGTAACATTTAGAATGAGACAAACTTCTGAGCAAAGGGATCCAATTAAGTATCTCCCAGATTCCTTCTGGCCCTT